TAAAGTAAGTGCACTGAACCACTAAGAGCTCTCTCTAGTGACTGATCTTAAAAACATTGCATTTAATACAATAACAAAAGAATGGAAGATTATATTTGTATAAATATGAAAGTCATAAAAAAATAGTTTAAATTAAACAATGTAGTAGTAATGTGAAATATGTGCTAGCTGAAAATGCACTCTACTTTCCCTAGCTATTCTCCCACTAGAGTTTTCATATCTGTTCACAGATTCCAGTTAATTCCATATTGATTTTGTCAACTGAAACTTTCAAAAAAACATAATTGCAGGGGAGACTGATTTGCTCCTTTGGTATCAGTTTATTAACCTTTTTAATCCATGTTGAATATATGCCATTTCCTCTGCTATCAAATTTTACGTACATTGAAATAAAACTATACTAAGAGGCTATATCTCAGCTGAAAATGCTACTATTCCTTACTATCATGCTGATCCAGTGGCTCCAGCACTTCCTAAGACACTGGACCTTCCTGTTCTGTAGCCGTGTGTTTCAAGAAGTAGGGAAATCAAATATGACCAGGCAATTATAATTTTCAGAAGATCAATAATGGCAACCTCCATATACTGTATGTCTTGATACAATCTTTCCTTAAGATGTAGAACATTTTTCTTTAACTAATAAACAAAAAAGATCTGCGCCAGTGACGATGCAAAAAAAGGTGAACGATGCAAAAGAGCGACTAGGCACTAAAATTATATCTGATAAAATTTATATGAAATAATGTGCCGAACTGAAGAAACAATCAATATAAAGTGAAATATACAACAATGATTATATGCTGAACTCAAACCACATAACATACACAGTGAAATAAAGTCCAAAACGAATCAAACGAAGCGGTCTAGATAATGAATCCAAACAATACGATGCAATGTGTACAAACAACATGAGCAGTACTCGGAAGCAGACTTTATAGTGTGCAGGACAACAGACTGTTTAATAATCCTTCACCTCCACGACGTGAATGCACAAATTACAAAGGAGTGCACACCTGGGTCTGTGGACCCACAGAGTAGGTCTCAAGCGCGTTTTCCCTTCTTAAGAAGGGGAGGGAGGCCCATAGTACCAAAGTAAAATAGATCCCTTGAGGTCGTAGATTTGCTCATCAGATCGAAAAGAAACAAAGCAGAAGACACATAGTGCATACCGTCCAAAAATATGACATTTATTAGATAAAAATAGGTACTCACACAATGGCAAGAAATAGGCAGCATATAAGATTCCCACAGGGGATTCCCTCAATGTATTTGAGTACAGCTAATGCAATACAGCTCCCGTCCGTTCGGCTCCACTGAAGTAATGACATCAGATGCTCCGCCTTACGTACGTTACGTCCAGCATGACTTCGTCAGGAGACCCAACAGACCCAGGTGAGCACTCGTTTGTAATTTGTGCATTCACTTGGTGGAGGTGAAAGATTATCAAACAGTCTGTTGTCCTGCACACTATAAAGTCTACTTCCGAGGACTGCTCATGTTGTTTGTACACTGTGGCATTGCGTGGCAATACCACTGTGTTCTGTGGCCTCAAAGTAACAGAGGATTCTCAGCCAGAGGGGCTGAGCGGCTCCAGGAAGCAATTGCTTGTATCAGAAAAGAGCTGGCTTTTCAGTCCTTTCCATGTCTTCTGGTTCATAGTTTGGATCCTGGAGCCAGGAGATTTCTTAGAGCTCTATGTGGGACGAAATCTCTATTCCTGGGTCCATGCTTTAGTAGTGACCAGCACCTGATTGTGCACCTGTGTACAACCCTCATGAAGAGAGTGCTGGAATGTATCAAGGGCCCCATCTGTGAGTTAGGAGAACTCCACCCAGGAGTCAGAGTGGAGGCCAGTTGTCGGGTCCCGGTCCAAGTGGCTCCGGGTCGGGTGCCGGTCCGAGGGACGTACAATGTCCCAGTACGAGCCAGTATGCGGGGACGCACGCGGTATCGCTGGGCCGCGCAGGGGGCGACGCCC